CCCTGGGACATTTGTTTTTTTTTTGGTGTTTTTTTTTTTCTTTGCGGTGCGCGGGCCTCTCACTGTTGTGGCCTCTGCCGTGGCGGAGCACAGGCTCCGGACGCGCAGGCTCAGCGGCCATGGCTCACGGGCCCAGCCGCTCCGCGGCACGTGGGATCTTCCCGGACCGGGGCACGAACCTGTGTCCCCTGCATCGGCAGGCGGACTCTCAACCACTGCGCCACCAGGGAAGCCCGACGTGGGCATTCTTCATAAACATTTCTCAGACTTTATCCCGTCTCTGTTTCACAAAGATGTCTAGCTGGAATAAATGCACAGTGTTCGGCACCTCCCGATACCAGGCGTGGTAGAGCTCACGCAGCCTTCGCTTAGCCTCGTTCATGTCCTGATTGAAAATGGGCTTCACCGAGGTGCTGGCTGCAGCAGCAGCCGGGCGGAGGCCACTCATCTTGCTAAAGCCCTATGCAGTCTTTGATGTGGAGGCAATAGGGATGGAAAAGGGAGTGTGCTTTGTGCTTTCCAGTACTTTCTCTTCCCTATTGTCTGAGGTGATTTGAGTATAATTTAGTTTGCTGCAGAGATAAAAATTCATTTCCTATTCTTATGTCCTTATCATTCAGGGCCAAAAAATATAAATATATTATTTTTTCAGCCTTGTCTCAGCTGGGTATCTTTATTTACCCAGTTTTAAAGTGTTCCTTTTATTGTTATTATTTTTTAGTCATTGAGTTCCATTTGGTGCTGTATCACTTGTGTTTATAGAATTCTGTCTGATATACCTGTTTAAAAACCAGTCTGATTGGGACTTCCCTGATGGTGCAGTGGTTAAGAATTCGCCTGCCAATGCAAGGGACATGAGTTCAAGCCCTGGGTGGGAAGATCCCACATTCTGCAGAGCAACTAGGCCCGGGTGCCACAGCTACCGAGCCTGTGCCGCAACTAGAGAAAGCACAGCAACAAAGACCCAACTCAGCCAAAAATAAATTAATTAATTATTTTTTAAAAAAACAATTTGATTGTCACAGATTGCTACTTTTGAAAAAAATTGATATTCTCACCTGAATTATCACCATCAGGACAAAGCAGTAAAGTAGATTTCTTTGTTTTCTCATTCCATTTAAAGCAGTATTAACTTCAGAGAAAAGTAGTGAATATCCTATAAGCCAGAATCCAGAAAGCCTTTCTGCTGACAAGTTTCAAGTATCTCCGGATACTTCCACCAGTAAAAATAAAGAACCAGGAATGGAAAGGTAAGAAGTAATAAATGTCAAGTTTGGTAGCTAAGTAACACCTGTACTTACATTAAACTTTTAGTGTTAATTTTTTTTTCACCATACTTTCTCTAGTTTTTTGTACACAGACATATCTAACTTCTCATTGCCCTAGGACACTTCTTTTGTTTAATTGTATGTAGGCTCTTTGGACCTGTACAAGGCATGAGCTACAACATGAGAAATGCACAGTAGATCTGTCCCTTTTCAAGGTCAGAATAAAATACAGAACTAAAACCTCAACAGGCCTGGAGGCTGATGGTAGACTTCTCCAAGGCCACCCTTGCCCTAATTGAAGTTTTTGCCTTCCTAGAAAAAGTTTAGCTATCGATTTACCCCAGTAAATATTCAGAATATCTTCCAGGGATGTTGTTCACATCACTATTGATATAAGACTATAACACTTTATAGTTTTAAAAATACTTTATCTACTTCTTCATTTGATCTTTATAAAAACACAGTGAAAGTAAAAGGACAAGTTCTGGACTATTATTCCAAATTGCTAGTTCAGGATAGAGTCTCAGAACTGATAGAGTCACACATCTCATGACTCTAGAAAGGAAAAAGAATTCATATTTATTGTGTTTCTACCAAGTGTATGTATATTTTCACTTATCTCTCTGGAAATAGTGACAAGCTGTCAATAATCTAATCACACCATCTTTTCCAAGTGTCTTGGATTGGACTGAGGATATATTTTTGAGGCTGTGATAATGGCCTGATGGCTGTGATAGAGAATGAAAAGACTTGACCTCCATAGGCCCTAAACCCATGATTTGAGGTAATGACCTCACTGCTGTGCTTTGACCGATTGAGCTAACCACCTGTTTAATATTCAGGTGAAATACTCTTCCTCTTCGCCCACCCCAGTATACCCTATAGAGACTTCTATTAAAAAACCTACACATTGATTGAACTTCCTCTACTAGACTGCTTGAGGAACAGGTCAGGTCTTGCTCATCTTTAATCCGTGGAGCCTAGCTTTAGTGCCTGACTCATACTAAATATCCAATAATTGTTTGAATCAGTTATCTGATCTCTGAGGTCCTTTAAATCTGTTGATAAGTATCGTATTCAGCAAAGTTCTAAACACCTGAAAGAGTAGAGGAATTACTGTGTGCATATGCTCTTCTAACAATATATTATAGCTAGCTTTTACTTTTAGAATGACTTTGGACATTGAAAAGGTAGGAGGTAGGGATGATTCTATGAATTCTGCTAACATTGGGTAGAAAGAATGAGTGTAGCAATTTCAAAATTAATCAACTTATTTTCATGAGAGAGCTGATTCTCATACATTCATTTGAAATAGTGTATAGAATTTGAGTGAGTGGTAGTGGATAATTTGGTGAAATTTGCTGACATGCTTTTAAATAGCTAGGAGATGTACTGCCTCAGGCCAGACCCTAAGGAGAGATGTTATATGTCAGCTCTGACATGTTGGCAGACATCGTGAATCCAGACTCCTAACCATCTCTTGTGTTCTCTCTTGCTAGTCATTCCCGATCTCTGATAGTGAGCTCTTTCACTTATGCCTTGGCTGCCTGGGAAGTATGATTAGTCTTTTCACAAGCTACAGTGATGGTTTTCTCCTTTCATCCTTTTTTCTAGGTCTTCCCCTTCTAAATCGCAGTTGTCAGATAATAGTTGGTATATGCACAGCCACTCAAGGAGTCTTCAGAACAGAAACTGCCCACCTCAAAAGGAGCTTGAGGTTGTTGATGTGGAGGAGCAACAGCTGACAGAGTCTGAGGCCCAGGATTTAATGGAGCAGTCTTCTTTGCCAAGACAAGATCTAGGTAATATTTTATCTGCTCTGATGGAGAAAACACTTTTATTTTACTCTTAACCTAAAGATATTCTGATGAATCAGCTTTCAAATGTGGTAGTCTATCATGAATGCATCTGTTATACTTAAACCCATTAGAAAAATAGCTTGAATGTTAATCCAAGTTGAACATTATTGCCGCTGTTAATTGGTCTATATTGGTTTAACTCTTAACAGTTTTGAGGATGGGAGAGTCTTGGTGCTCTCTAAGTATTTTACTTCAACTGTTAGATGAGAGTTCTAGGGCCCTAGGGTAAAGTTTTAGGCTTGTCCTTTATTGAAAAATGAGTCAGATCTCTAAAGTAAGCTCTTGTTTTATGAATTAATGAATATAAATTGCTATATATTTTATGCCTTATAAATCACTATAACTGAATAGTGTGTTTTATGGCTTTAAATCAAGGTTTTAATCAGTAAAGAAAGTTTTAAATTAATCCTGAAAAACACATTATCATAAAAGGTGCTCTTAGACAACTAAATGTTTTTGGCCATGTTCACTAGGGTCATTTTAGGAATCTCACACTTTCTACTTAGCTGTGCTTACTTGCTGATGGAGTGACATTTTCTGAAATGTTTCAGGGATGGTCTGTTTTTAATTTGGTAATGATATCTGATGATTTATTAAGTGAAAAAGTTAATGATATCATCATGGATGAAGAAACAAAAATCATTTTGATTGTATTTAGTCACCTATTTGTATTTGGTATTTTTTTTTAAAGTTTCAGTGATATAGGAAGTGCCAAAATATTCACAAGCAGCCCAAAGATTAAAGTATACATTTGAGTATAACTGAATCACTTTGCTGTACACCTGAAACTAACACAACGTTGTAAATCAACTATACTCCAATATAAAATAAAAATTTTTTTAAAAAGTATACATTTGAGTATAACTGAATCACTTTGCTGTACACCTGAAACTAACACAACGTTGTAAATCAACTATACTCCAATATAAAATAAAAATTTTTTTAAGAAGTATACATTTGAATCAAAACCATCCCCTAAGAACTAAACTGATAAATGACAGAAATTATAGAAAGCAGGCTTTCTTATAATATTGCATTTAATATCTAAGATGCAAACACATTTCATGTTAAAACTGAAATAGGGTAGCATCTTAAAAATCAATGGTATCTTTTTTTAATTTTTAATTTTGGTAAAAAAACATAAAATTTACCTCAACCATTTTTAAGAGCTCAGTAATGTTATACTCCCATTATTGTGCAATAGATCTCTAAAATTTGTTGATCCTGTAAAATTCTGTACCCATTAAATAGCAACTCCCCATTTCCCCCTCCCCCTATCCCCTGGGAGTCAGCATTCTACTTTCTAAGAGTTTAGATACTCTAGATAACTCATGTAAGTGGAATCATGCAGTATTTGTCCTTTTGTGACTGACTTTTTTCATATAGCATACTGTCCTCAAGGTTCATCCAAGTTGGTAGCTTTTTTAAAACCATTGTGTGTGTAGATAGATATAGATATATACATATCTCACATTTTCTTCATCCATTTATCCAATGATAGACATTTGGGTTGCCTCCACCTCTTGGCTATTGTGAATAATGCTACAACAAACATGAGTGTGTGCATTTCTCCATTTTATTGTAATTAAATGTAATAGGTGAAGAGTAGTTCATTGGAATGGATGTGGCATAATTTATTTAATCTCATTGTACATTTAGTTTGTTTCTAAAACCTTACTGTTATAAACAATGTTGCAGTGAACATTCCTATGACACTTTTACAGACCTCTTTTATGTCCTTAGGTTACATTTCTAAAACTAGAATTGTTGACTGCCAAGTATAAACACACAAGGCTGTTGCTACATAGTACCAAATTTCCTTTAGAAAAGTTAAGCTGCTTTGCACATCTACCAACCATGTTATTAATGTACCCATTTTTCTCTTAACCTAACTTAATCTGTCTTTTTAATTTTTAGCGGAGACTAGATGTTATAATTCAAAATTCACTGTCATATATATTAAATTTCTTTCCTCATTCCTTTCAGAGGGAACCCCTTACCTAGAATCTGGAATCAGCCTCTTCTCTGATGACCCTGAGTCTGATCCCTCTAAAGACAGAGCCCCAGAGCCAGCTCATGTTTTCAGCATGCCACCCTCAGCCTCTGCACTGAAATTACCCCAATTTCAAGTAGAAGAATCTGCCAGGAGTCCGGCTGCAGCTCATACTACTAATACTGCAGGGTATAATGTGTGGGAAGAAAGTGTGAGCAGGGAGAAGCCAGAGTTGATACCTTCAACACAAAGAGGCAACAAAAGAATTTCTATGGTGGCATCAGGCTTGACCCCAAAAGAATTTGTGAGTGTATCCATATGTATTTCCCTAATGACTGAGCCTTCATTAACATACCGCAATGGCTTTAAATGGGTACTAGCTGTGAGTAACCTATAGGAAGATATCTGGCAAACAAGCTCATTACTATGTAATTTAATTTACGTTACTAATTTCTGAAAACTTATACCTAGATAAAGCTATAGCATGGATTATTTTGTATGTATTTAGTAAAGGAAATAATTATTAAATATTAGCAGAAAGGTTATGGTTTTGAGTATAATACAGAGCTTTTTAATTTTAATTTTCTTTCTATCTAAAAAAGCAAGGAGGTATAGCTCTACTCCCCAGAAGGCATCTTTTCCCCACCTTTGTTCACATCTGAGTGAACTTGCCAGCATGATTAACTAAATTTAAACTGGTTCCAAGTACATGGCCAGATAGTGGCATTTCTCCAGTATTTATTTATCTTTATCCTGGCTTGTAACACTGTTATCCAGTAGCTTGCCCTGTCAGTTCTACCCTACAATAACCCATTCCTGTTAGGATTTTAACATCTCCTGCTAGAAACAGGAGTTGTTTTGTGCTGTGGAAAAATACCCATTAAAATATTAAGACCACTGAAACTTTGTTTCTACTTGGATTGAGCATAGATTTCAGACATCATAGGAAATTTATCTCCCCTTAATTAATCACCACTAATTAATCATTAATTGAGTGAAGATTTCTTTAAAACCATGATAACACACCAGAGTATCAAACAGATTCAATAGTGGATGCTATTTATTGCACACTGAGAAATGATTCAGTCATTCTTAAGTATCTTTCTTAATATATCCTTCCTGGAATAGAAACCATTTCTCATCCTAGCTTCTCTATAGGTTAGCAGCTCAGCATGACCTCTGTGACCAGATGTGTCCCACTACTAAAAGGGCAAAGTAAGCTTTGTCTGCCCTAGTAGATACAATGAATAAATTCTCATCAATAATGCCAGAATTCTCATCTCACAACCATGTGCCCAGAACAGCTATTTGCTCTAAAAATTCATACCTATGTCTGTTTATACTGCTCTTGATCTTTTGCCAACACATCTAAAATTCCCATTTATTCACTGAAAATTAGCATTCCTTATTCCTTTGTTTTGTGAGATCAGCTTTTCCGAGAAGGCTAAAATGATCTAATCTTTCTTGCCATGGGCAATCCTGAACTGCAAATGAGACTTTAAGTGGCTTGGGTACATATTGTCTCTAAACAAGCAAAGAAGAAAACTTTCAGCTCTATTCAGACTTGCCGAAGTGTGGTAAATTTATTATGAAAGCTGCTGACTGTATTATGCATGATTAATTCCGAAGCCCATATTAAGATGATCTTTTCAGCAGTTGCTCTTCTAACTGAACGCCGGTTCAAGGCTGGGATTTCAGCAATTAATCAGTTCAGAATTGCTAATGATCCTGGCAAAGGGCAGTGGCAAAAGGGGGAGGGTGTCATTAGCTTCTCCAGCTTGCCTTTTTCAGTGCCCTGTGGCAGTATGGACACAGCCCACCCTCCATTGCAATCCCGTGGGGCACATAAATACTGGCGTGGGTGTTGATGACTAGTAAATGATGGAAATACTGGCGTGGGTGGTGATGGCTAGTAAATGATGGCCCTTGGTAAACAAAGTTATTTACCAAGCAGTAGCTGCTGATTATGTCAAATGTGTCTATAATGGATCTGGTTAATTTCTTTTACTGCCTGTTGATTTTTATTTGGTTGATAGATAATAGCTAGAAGGCTCTAGATTTCTTTTGAGAAGAATATGAGTCTCTTCCAATCCTTCTCCTTAAGAGGAATTGATAGTTTTTGTACTGACCTTTAGAAGCATCTCGACTTGAACGTTTTAAAACTGTCAGCAGGTTGAACCTAGTTCTTAAGCCACATATCAGAGCATAACTTTCTGTATAGGCAAGTTACCTCTCAGCTTATAAAGTGTAGGCTGATAAATCTAAATTATAGTATAGTAGGGTGTCACTCTGCAAGGAAACTGTCTTAGGGAATCAAGTGATATCTGTTATTAAAAGGAAAATTAATATTATTTTGAATCCTTGGTTATAATTCCATGCCTGTTAGCACAGACTATTTTAGAGTTTCTTCCTCTGATTTGTACATAATTTTTATTAAATTACTATTTATTTTGAAACTTCATATTAGAATAAAAAGGATGTACCTTTTGTGAGAAAAATGGAGGTTCAAAGCTGGGATAACTAATACTCAAGCTGTGTTCTAGATGTAATTTATTATAATGTGATATTTGATTTGATTTCAGGTGCTTGTGCACAAGTTTGCCAGAAAACATCACATCACTTTAACTAATCTAATTACTGAAGAGACTACTCATGTCATTATGAAAACAGGTACACCAAGAACCTTTACAGAATATGCTGCATCTGTTGCATAAAACTACATGAAGAAATGGGCATGTTTGTTAAGCATGGCATGGGTGACCGTCTTCCAATAGTCAATCAGTTATTGCTTGATGAAAGAAAAATAATAGTTTTGCTATTTCCTGACCCCCTTTTATTTTGGGTTAAGATTGGAGAGTGGTGAGCCAGAATGATGAATCACTTCTCCTAGTCCGCCCTGCTTGGACTACACTGTGTGAAGGCTTTCTGGGAAGGCAGAGCCCGAGTCCTGGAGGAACAAATGGGGCAGAGAGGGGAATGAGCAGAAGTGAGTCTTCACACAAAATCTGGGTGGTTGGAAACCCTAGCTAGCTCCATGACCTCACTCCACTCCAACACCTAGTTTGAGTGTGGTTGAGAGTTTTACAGGAAACAAGTCCGGTTATCAGCTCTGAGATAGCCTAGCATATGAAAAAGAAAAAAGTGAAGGGAAAAATTCCCCTTCCCCTTTTTAAATCTTAAGTATGACTTGTGTGATGACAAGGGAGACCTTGAAGGCTTTTAGTTGACTGTAAGCTAAATCTGAGTAAACATTTCAGGACTGCTAACAAAGCTCATTTGAAATTGGGCCTTATTGATACAAGCCTAATGTCCAGAGCAAGTGAGATGACGATCCCGACACCCCACCCCACCGGCACCGGAGCGAACACCTGGAAGTTGTGTGCTCTGTTTTGAGCACCATGCTTTCTTTTCATGCTGGTCCCTGACAACTGGAGAGTGTTTATCCAGAGGTAGATGAAGAGAATGGGGAAAAGGAATTCAAAGCAATGTCATTTGAAGGACAAATGAAGGAATGGGAAGACTTAAGGGAACAAGACAAGTGTCTTGAAATATCTGAAGAGTTGTTATCTGGAGGAGGAGTTAGGTTCACTCATGAGCTCCAGAAAGCAAAGACTGGTGCCTATGGCACACAGAAGATGCAGATTGAAGCTCAACTCTTAAAACCTTCCTAACAAAATGGACTCTCTGGTCCTCTCCAGGGTGTTTCTGTTATAAGCTGAAGGTTCTTGAGCATAGGGTCCAGACTCCTTGGCAGGGACATGCTGTCTTAGAACTTCTAAGAGCTTAGGTTTCTACTGTGTAAAGATCATACTACAGGGTCAGAGGATAATGCTCACAGGAATCCGATGCCAAAACAAGTTACCATGAACTAAACTGTTTTAGAGATGAATGTCATTAAACTTGAATATATCTTAAGCTATGGGTTTGGATCAAGGCTGCTGATAGGTGAAAAGGAAACTTTAAAATGCAAACTAAATCTAAAGTAGTTCAGTGTTTAAACTCAAAGGCAATACATTTGCTACTTTTAAACTAAAAATGAGCTAAGATTTCTGAGTTTAAAGCATATTATTAAGTCAACCTTCACAACAGTTAAACAGAAAGCTTTAAAAATTGTGAAGAGGGGCTTCCCTGGTGGCGTAGTGGTTGAGAGTCCGCCTTGCCGATGCAGGGGACACAGGCTCGTGCCCCGGTCTGGGAGAATCCCACATGCCACGGAGCGGCTGGGCCCGTGAGCCATGGCCGCTGAGCCTGGGTGTCCGGAGCCTGTGCTTTGCAACGGGAGAGGCCACGGCAGTGAGAGGCCCACATACCGCAAAAAAAAAAAATTGTGAAGAAAGAGAAAAGATTTTTTTTAATTTGTGAAGAATTCGGTTAGGGAGAATGGCTGTTGCTACTACTGGCAGATGGCCTGCTGTGTTGAGGATTTAGTTAAATACATTTCTGCTGTTTAAAACTAAATGTTGTTTCCTGAGTTTGCTTAGTCTTCAAACAGGCCTTTAAAACACTAAAAAATAAGCAGAAGTGATTCTTCAGCTACTGCTTTCTGAAATACGTTGAAAAGAGAAAAACTATGAAAATACTATATTTTTCTGCCTTGCAGGGGAATTAAGAATTGGGGGTTAGGATTCCCTAAGTAGAAGTTCTGGGGGTGAAAATTCATCATTGACATTTCAAATTTAGGATTTCAACAGTACTGTTTTCTTTTCCTTTCACATATCGTCATCCAGTAAAATAGATCTTCCCTGTCCATGTGTATCAATACTACCGACATAGGTAATTCCCTGAGCACACTGACAGACATCTTTAGCTGGCCTTGGCATCTAGAAGATAGGGCAGACATTTCCTGTGGTCTTAACTTCACATCAGCCTTCTCCAGACTTCCAAAGATCCACACCTGCTGGTTAGAATTAGGGGTGCTTCCAGCCTCTGAGTCTATCACCAGGGGTGTTGGAATCATCAATCCAGATTGATCTCAAGTAGCATAAGGAGCTGGGGCACTTTAGCTTCTTATGGCAGCCCTTCCTGGTTTTGTTTTCAACTTCTAATCCTTTGGATGTTTTCCACTCTGCAGATGCTGAGTTTGTGTGTGAACGGACACTGAAATATTTTCTGGGAATTGCAGGAGGAAAATGGGTAGTTAGCTATTTTTGTAAGTACCATATAATTTCTCCCCTCCTCCCTTTAACACCTCAGAATTGCATTTTGACACCTAACATTTTAACACCTAAGATTTTTGCTGATGCTGAATCTGAATTACGAAAAGGTCTTTAGTGGTAACACTAAACTAGCTTTATCTTTAATGCATAGCTCTTTGTTCAGATAGCTGGTGATGTGGGGGAAAATGTATTTCTTTTTATAACTAACAGGACCTAATCTGCTGCTGGTAATGTTAGCATATGAACTAGGGATTTATTTAATTGTAGGCAGAAATCCATGTGCAGCAGGCACTTTTATAATGTTTAAATTAAGCATCAGTGGTGTCTCCAGAAGGAAATGTATTAAGGAGCTGTGGCTTTATAGAGAGAGGACCTCTATTCAGTGTTATTTCTCCCACACTCTTATGTGAATCACTTCACCATCTACCCCCATGAAAGGAGGTCTTCTGCTCTTGTGTGACCTGTCTTTTCTGTGATCTCTTTAGGGGTGACCCAGTCTATTAAAGAAAGAAAGATGCTGGATGAGGTAGGTACTCTGTTTTACAAACTAATCAGAAAGACTTGGTGCCATTGAGTCATACTGAGTCACAAAAATTTATCTGCTTCCTGCCTTGCACTACTTTCTGAAGATTTTCCTTGATGATGTGGATCATCAAGAGTTATGTGAACAGGGACTTCCCGGGTGGTCCAGTGGTTAAGGATCCACCTTCCAGTACAGGGGATGCAGGTTTGATCCCTGGTTGGGGAACTAAGATCCCACATGCAGTGGGGCAACTAAGCCTGTGTGCTGCAACTAGTGAGCCTGAGCGCCACAACTAGAGAGAAACAGGCCCACCTAAATCTTACATGCATACACCTTTGTAGAAAACTCACAGTTGAAAAGAATCCTTCATATTAATATGCAAATGTATCTGTTTAGAAATCCGATTCCTTCATAGAGATTTTATTTTACTCTTTGATACTGAGAACAGTGAGAGGTAAATAAGATAGAGCGTAGGAGGAGGAATAATTTTAGAACAGCCATCTTAGAGCTGCTGGTGACAACAGATCAGGCAAAATAAAATTAGCGAAAGCAGTTTTAAACTATTATGCACTATTCAGCATATTCATAATTAATTAATTGATGTTTCTGTTGGTTTTAACTTTCATTCAGTGACTTATATTATTGGGAACCTACTATGTGCTGGGCACCAGGGATACAGCAGTAAATAAGACTGATAGGTCCCTGCTGTGGTGGGATTCATGTTCTGTGGAGAGGAGTTGCATTATAAATAAAGATGTGTTTAAAATACCAGTAAACACTATAAAGAAATACACAGAACAACAGACTGGCCATTGACTGGGGACAGAGGTTGACTATTTAGGTAAGGAGACCCAAGAAGGCTTTCTGAAAAGCTTGAGCTGAGACCTAAAAGACAAGAAAGAATTGGCCTTGAAAAATGTAGGGGGCTTCCCTGGTGGCTCAATGGTTGAGAGTCCGCCTGCCAATGCAGGGGACACGGGTTCAAGCCCTGGTCCGGGAAGATCCCACATGCTGCGGATCAACTGAGCCCGTGCGCCACAACTACTGAGCCCGCACGCCTAAAGCCCATGCTCCACAACAAGAGAAGCCACCGCAATGAAGAGTAGCCCCTGCTCTCCGCAACTAGAGAAAGCCCGCATGCAGCAACAAAGACCCAATGCAGCCAAAAATAAAATAAATAAATAAACAAAAATAATAAATAAATTTTTTTAAAAACAAACAAAAAAAGAAAAATGTAGGGAACAAATGTTATAGGCAGAATAGCAGCAAGCATAAAGGTCTTAAGATGGGAATGAGCTTGGTTTATTAAAGAAAAACAGGCCAGTATAGCTGGAGAGTTGTAATTGGTGAATCATATGTAGGCAGCAGAGGTTAGACAAGGGGTTGGAGAAGGTCATAGACAAGGGCCAGATTAGGTAGGATTTGGTGTAAGTCGTGGTAAGGAATTTGAATTTTATTCATAGGGTAATGTGACCTGGAGATGGTAAGAAGAGTTTGGTTTGAGATGTTTGGAAGATAGGACTTACTAATAGGTTAAATTGGAAGATGAGGTAAAGACAGGAATTGGGGTAACGCTTAGATTTTTGGCCTGAACAATGAAGTGGATGTTAGTGATGTTAATTAGATAAGGAAGACATGGGGGAGGAGCATCCTGGGAGGCCAGGGAGCAGGAGGCAGGAGCAGAATCAAGAGCTCTGTTTTAGGTACATGGATTTGGGGATTTATGTGAGAGCTCCGGGTAGAGAGGTTAGTAGGCACAGGGGTACAATCAGGACTATAAATTTGAGGGTCATCTTCATTAAATAGATGACATGTTTATCACTAGACTCTTCTCACTCACGTGACTAGGAAATATTAAGAGCTCTTTCACCTAATAACAACCTGTGGTTATACCCATGACTTTATTATTCTTCATAATTCTCTTGGCAACAGATGTGGTCTCCCCTGCAATCTGAGTTTCAGTAAGAATTGTTTCTAAGCATTCTTCCCCAGAATTCTCTCCAAACCTCTAACCTCCCTAATCTTATTATTCTTTATTCCCCCAGCCTTGACTAGTCCAAATAGTTGATTATGAAAAGCCTCTTACTTTCTTCAGTATTAAATGTATATTTTATTATATTGGTTTCATTAACTGTAAATCTCTCAATGGAAATCTGAGAAGCCCTTATTTCTTTAGGTGGTAATACACATTGATTTAAGAGATCAGGAATTCTCCAGTTATCTTTATAACAGCACAGTATTAGCAGTTTAAATGCTAAGTGAATGTTCTGAGAGGAGATAGATGTTGCAAATTAAAATATGTTAAGTCCCAGTGAGGTCAAAAGCCAATTGTTAGTTTCTGCCCACAAAGATTTGCTTCAGTGAATTGATTTCAGCAGCTGAGATGCTGGTCATTTCATGCAGTCCACCAGAAAAGATGATTTTGGGGGAGGTAGGGTTCAAAACTGCCTGGCAATATTTGATTCCTTAAATATGACATATCTCCTCTGTTTCCATTGAAGGAGGCTTCTCTTTCTCTGACCCCTGTGGTTTGGGCTTGGTTTCTTTCAGCATGATTTTGAAGTCAGAGGCGATGTTGTCAATGGAAGAAACCATCAAGGCCCAAAGCGAGCAAGAGAATCCCAGGACAGGAACGTAAAGCATGGAAGAAACCATCAAGGCCCAAAGCGAGCAAGAGAATCCCAGGACAGGAAGGTAAAGCCCTCCTCCCCCATGTTGGCAAAAAACCTACCCACCCCTCTGCATTCCTGCCCACTTCGTGGAGATGGTCTCATTCATCTTGTAAGGGGCCTTACAAGATGGCCCCTTACACTGCTAGAATACCAAGTAGGTGCATTCATATAGGTTTTTTTAGTTCTTCTGGCCCAGCAGAGTAAATAAGTACAGTCATTCCTCAGTACCCTTGAGGGATTGGTACCAGGACCCCCTGCAGATACCAAAATCCAAAGATGCTCAGGTCCCTTTTATAAAATGGTATAGCATTTGCATGTAACATCCTCCTATATACTTTAAATCAACTCTAGATTACTTCTAAGACCTAGTACAGTATAAATGCTATGTAAATAGTTGCCAAAAAGCAGATTCAAGTTTTGATTTTTGGAACTTTCTGGAAGAAAAATTTTTTTTTCAAATATTTTCCATTGGCAGTTTAGTTGAATCTGCGGATGCGGAACTTGTTGGATACAGTAGGCCAGTGGGCCAACTCTATTATCCGATTTATGAATGAGGGAGCTTAGAGGTTTAGAGAAGTTATATAATTTGGGTTTCATTCTAGGGTGCAAATCTTAGCTGATAAATGGCAGAGTTGGGATTTGAGACAGATGTGAATCTAAAACCTTTGCTCTTTCTACTTCACGGTGGTGTCTTCTCTACAGCAGTGTAGTAAGTGCTGTGAGGGGTATGTACCCAGGCTGTCTGTGGAAGCACAGAAGAGAAAGTGATTGATAATCAATAGCTGACATCTGTGTAATGTTCACCATATCCAGGGACTGCTCCAAACACTCGACCCTATCTTAACTAATTAACAATTTTACGGCAACCCTGGGAAGCGTGTACTATAATTATGCCTATTTTATAGATGAGAAAATTAAGGATCAAAGAGGTTGAGTAAATTGCCCAAGCTCACACAGCTAGTTGTGAACCCAACTAGAAGCTGAACCCAACTAGAACCAGTCTCCCTCCAGAATCTGAGCTCTTGATGACAATACCACAGTTTCCTGGCACATTATAGAAGTTTTCACACAGGAGAAAAATTGACTATTCTAACAAATTTACAAATGAAAGACTAGAGGCCCAGGAAGATTCAGTGACTTTCTTCCCCAGATCATACTGTAACAGATGACGTAGCCAAAATTATGTCGTTCTCTCAAGGAGAAATCCGGGCAAGATTTCACACCAGCCTGTCAGGCCTGAGCTGGCTGCTCTTGGGTCACTGGCTGAGTGCTTATGCTCCTGGTCTGCATTTCTTCCTTTTTCAAGTGTGTACCACTGGGCATGTCAGAACATCCACATACGGAGCACCTCCTGTTCCTTTATAGAACTTGAGAGAGAACCAACAGAGATGATTTTCTAAGGAAAACTGCTTTGGGAGATGATCACAAATCAAGCCCTGGAGCTCTGAACCCTTGGGGTCAGCCCACCCTCACCCTCTGAGCCTATCAAGTAACTTCCAGATGCCAAGAAAAGCTGCTGGCCCTGTTTCTCCTTCTGCCTGCACCTGAGGGGAGCTCTGTGTGAGCCAGTCATATGTTTTATTCCACTGGATACAAGGCAGAATCAGCACCAGATTCTTCCCTCCTTGAAAGGAAATTCCAGCATTTGGAGTTTTGCCCTGCATTTGGGGTGGCAATTGTGGAACGTGCCTGGTCAAAGTAGTGTCATTCTGAAGACACCACGTGTCACTGTAGCGTTTTCTTGTGGAAGAGAAATGTATTTGTAGAGGTGAAACTTCAAATTTCTAATCTCATAACTGGACATCCTCATCAGTGAGTGTCAGCCTGGATGTAAAAATTCCTAATCTTGGGCTTCCCTGGTGGCACAGTGGTGAAGAATCTGCTTGCCAGTGCAGGGGACACGGGTTCGAGCCCTGGTCCGGGAAGATCCCACATGCTGGGGAGCAACTGAGCCCGTGCGCCACAACTACTGAGCCTGAGCTCTAGCGCCTACAAGCCACAACTACTGAGCCCACCTGCCACAACTATGGTAGCCCGCATGCCTAGAGCCCATGCCCTGCAACGAGAAGCCACCGCAATGAGAAGCCCGCGCACCACAACGAAGAGTAGCCCCCACTCGCTGCAACCAGAGAAAAGCCCGCACAGCAACGAAGACCCAACGCAGCCAAAAATTAAAAATAAATAAATTTTTAAAATAATTCCTAATCTTTTGTACTTTTTTTTTTTTTTTTTTTTGCGGTCCTTGGGCCTCTCACTGTTGCGGCCTCTCCCATTGTGGAGCACAGGCTCCGGATGCGCAGGCTCAGCAGCCATGGCTCACGGGCCCAGCCGCTCCGCAGCATGTGGGATCTTCCCGGACCGGGGCATGAACCCGCGTCCCCTGCATCGGCAGGCGGACTCCCAACCACTGTGCCACCAGGGAAGCCCCCTTTTGTACTTTTTGTGTCAACATTTGGCTCCAGCTGGCCACCTGGGGAGAACGTTTAGCATTATGAGCATCTAGATTCTGCCAACAGGTTGGAGATGCAGTTTATTCATACATATAGTGAGAATGGCACAGATGGAGGCTGTCACATACAACAGAAACAGACTTGTCCTGTTGTCTGTCCTTGTTCCTCTGAGATTGAAATGGGGTGGTGGCAGTGGTGGGGGGGGGGGCGTTTCCTAAAAGGCCATCATGTGTTTTTAGCTTCCTGATTTTTCTCTACCCCAGTCTCTTGTTTGAAGGGAGGTGAGTTCTAGGCCTAGACAATTTTCATTTTAGTGGAATGGGGAGAAAGAAAAAGGGTCAAGAGAACAAAGGTTACCTAAATGGTATGTATCCAGCCAACTGACACAAATTTAGATATGTTCTTTGAAATGATACCCAAGTCCTTCCCTAAGAATTCGTGCCAAAGCATGTGTAAGAATTTGCCTGTCCAACAGAGTAGCCACCAGCCAGAAAGCTGTTTACATTGTAATTAACTAAAATTAAAATAGGAAGTTTAGTTCCTCACTCACCCTAACCACATTTCAAGTGCTCATTAGCCACATGTGACTCATGGCCACCTTATTAAAGCAAATATAGAATATTTCCACCAAAACAGAAAGTTCTTTTGGACAGTCTGTTGAGCACTCTAAGTGGGAAGAGATACCTGCAAGGTGCAGTGTGATCTGTGGCTCCTGGAAATTAGGCAGTAAGCTCAGTGAGGAGAGGCAGAGCCAGGCTTCCCTTCTAGATTAAAAACGACTTAGGTTGCTGAAGGAACAAGGGCCATTCGTAGAGCAGTGTGAAGGCAGGAACAGATGTTCTGGGACCAGGAGAAAAGGAGCAGGTACACATAAAATAAACATAGACCTCTCTGCCAGTTAGGGTCAGGATTAGTATTGATGTATATATCAAATCTGGATAAACATCAAACTTCAGCTGATAGTTTGAATTTCTTGACATCCAAGCCTTTTATTAAACATAAAGGAGGACCAGTTTTTTTCCTCTTGTCTCTAACGAGAAGTAAAATTACCTGCAGAGGTCATCAGGGAAGAGCCTGGACCTGATTGGTGGCAAGGTGGGATGCCCAGCCCTTGAATGACAAAGAATGACTATAGAGTAGATCAAATACATACACAACATGAAAAAAAGTCTAAAATCCATCAGTGTTTTGGACATTGGGCTGATAGTCTCTGGGAAGTAGCAGCAGAAATTATCAGGTGGTAAAGAAAAGAAAAGGAAAGTTCTTATGATATTGCTTATATGTAGAATCGTAAAAAAAGGGGGGTACAAATGAACTATTTACAAAACAGCAGTAGTCACAGATGTAGAAAACAAACTTACGGTTATCAGGGGGTAAGTCGGGGGAAGGATAAATTGGGAAATTGGAACTGACATATACACACTACTACATATAAAATAGACAGCTACTAAGAACCTGCTGTACAGCCCAGGGAACTCTACTCAATACTCTGTAATGGCCTATATGGGAAAAGAATCTTAAAAAAAAAAAGAGTGGATATCTATAAATGTATAACTGATTCGCTTTGCTGTACACCTGAAACTAACACAACACTGTAAATCAACTATAATCCAAAAAAAATTTAAATTTTCTTTTTAAAAAGGGAAGTTCTTCATTTTTGAGAGTCTCTATATTGCTTTTTATAGAAACCCATATCTTTTATAACTAATGTTTCTTTCTCTCCACCCCTCTGTCCCTGTCTTCTCCCAGATCTTCAAGGGCTTAGAAATCTGTTGCTATGGACCCTTTACCAATATGCCCACAGGTAAGAGACTGGGAGAACTGCCGAATCCAGCACCAGCCTTTCCCCTACGTCATCATCTTAATGGGGGTTCCCTCATATGGGTGAGATATTCCAGAGGTTATTCTATTTCTCTACCACTCATCAGACAAAACTGCACCAAAATATTAGCCCATGGCAAAATAACTAGCCCTGTGCCCCTTCTCAAGAGCTAGAAGGCAGTGAAGAGTTAGAATCTAGGACACAATATATTCTGTGCTCAGTGGGGTAGAGCTGCTCTTACTGCCCTTTGGTCTAAGAAAGGGGGGAAATAATAAGTTAGGGAGAAGATACCTTTTGGGTTTGTAAATGTCAAGAAAGAATTCTGCTCCTCCTAAACCATCTTCATTTGATACAGAGATGAAAGCACAACAGTTGCATAAGCCCTGTGGGCCTGGGGCCCCACATAGGCTCAGAGCAGAGGAAGACTCTTGATGAACATTTTCTAATTAAATTTGACACTGAATGTGATGTTATGTTGAGGAGTGCTATGTGGCTCAGCTCAGAAGTTGTGAGGCACTGAGGCCCTGTGTCTAGATTTGGTTCGTTCTTTTCCAAACAAAGGCTACCCACCTTTGCCTCTGTACCCACTTCTGCCCCCAGGATCAGGTCCTCTTACTCCACCGAAATCAGCCTTGGCATCTGGTCAGGGACAGATGAGTGGCAGCAAGAGAACCTGGCAAAGTCATTTTGCTTCTGTCTTTATTGGTTATTGATTGGGTGTTCATGAAATTTCCAAGTGCCACTCAAAGCTTTCTCAGGGTTTTTGTACTTTGGTATAATGAAAACGAGGGTCTTGCAGCTATCATTTTGGAGGTAAGTTAATTGACCTCGGTTCACTCAGCCAAACAGGAGCACCTCAGCAATCCTCAGAAATGGGCTGATGGTAAGTAAAGAGAACCCAGAGGTGACCAGGAGCCACCCAGTGGTCAGTTCTGCTGCTTTTCCAGGTCCAAGTGGAACATCTCTAAGATCTCTTCTGATTTTTTCAAGTGATTTGATTCCAGCTCAGCATATAGCCTTTCCCCACTGATGTGCTGAGCCTCTATCCAGGATGACTTGTATTTTTTCTTGACTGAATGAATTATCTTCCCATCTCTTGACATTTACAGTAATTACCACCAAGTATGGTGCTGTCAGTGGCTGTGATTATCAATTACCAACACAGAATTAGGCAAGGAAGGAGGGATGGCGGGTAGGTATTTTTTCAGTGTCTTAGCCAGCAGTTTAGCAAATTAATGGAAATGAGATCTTCGATTTTATTTTTTCTTTCTTTCTTTCCAAGTGTTTCATTTGACTTTCAGACCTTATCTACCAAGTGGCCTTATGAGGACTGATAACCAAAGTAGGTAGCATATCCGTAGCAAATTGACTTAGAATTTGTAGTTTAAGGCCTTTCCGTCCCTTTGGAGCAGAGAAACAGGGACTCTCCCACTGAGAAGTCTTGCTGTAAGCCTTCATCCACAGGAGTGTGGGGTAGAGAGCCCAGTTAAATATGTAGATTACTGTGGTGATTTTAGGTCTAAATGTCTTATTTAGATCAACTAGAGTGGATGGTGCATCTGTGTGGGGCTTCTGTGGTGAAGGAGCCCTCATCATTCACCCTCAGCCAGGTAAGTGTTTGGTGCCCTGTTGGCGGAGGACACAATATTCTGTCCTGAGATTGAGCAAGGCAGCACCTTTCAGTCCCTATGAACCCCCCAGTGTAGCCTTAGAAGCCTCACTTCACCCTGACCCTTCTCTGACCACGTACCTGTGCCAGAAGACTCCATCTGTAAGGGATAAGTAAGGACTTGAGAGCTACAAATACTAAACAGACCCAGGGAAGGCTCTTTC